AGGTAAGTATGTTCAAACGTACTTTACGACGGACCGACGGGCAGAGAAAAGAGGTTGTATCCACCCGCGCATCCACCGTTGATGGAAAATTCTTTAAGATGATTATAAACTCTTTCTTTGCAAAGATTTTGTGTCGCTATAATGAAATCATTGTTTCGAAAGTTTTTATGCGGCAAAAAAATTCCTAGAGTGACTTTCCGCTCTAGATACAAAGATCTAGAAACAAATAAAAATTTATCCGAATTGAAAAAATTGTAAACTGATTATTTTTGGGTCCATTCAGCCTTTGTGTAAATGCGAATTGTGAATATAAGCGAAATTTTTGAAATTACCGCAAAGAAAAGCATGCAAAAAGTGACAAAACAGAGCAGTCGAGCAGAGCATAATTTTGCCGTCGATCAATTGCTGACGAAGAATGTTCCTGTTTGGAACCTTGCGCTCTTAAAACATTTTTAAACGGACCCCATTATTTCTGTATTCATAGAAATGTGACCAACACCAATAAAGTTAACTACTTCTACGCGGTTACTTTTGCATGAACCCTTCGGGCCTCTAAATTAGTTAACGTCACAAACGCGTCTCAGACTTTGCTTTCGTAATTAATTCAGTTCCCATATAAAACGAAATACAAGATCTCGGCGGCCTCCTCCGAAGTCCTCTTCCAACTTGAAAACCTAAAAAATCGACAACAATTTATAATTCGTATAATACCTGGCCATTAACACACTGTTTTCGGGCGTGTCATAAACTATTTAACTCTTTTTTTTTGTTAAAAGGCCACTTATCTAAGTTTAACAGTGTAGAGACGCGCGTAGGTAATTTATGGATGGCAACAATAAAAACTGTTACAATTTACAAATTGGGCGTCATTTTTTAAAACGTTGAAGAAAATTGAATTTCGACCGAGCTGAAGTTGACAAATGGGGTGTTTTGTAATTTTTTGGTTCACACATTTGACTTTTAAATTAATTTTTATGGGGGCTTAGTGTCGGTTATAGTTAATGTGGCTAATTTAAATATTTCTTCTCTGATACTTTATGCAACATTGTATAGTTTGGGTTTCAGGTACAATTTCTGTAAAACTTCCCATTTTAAATATAACATTCACTTGAACTGAAATATTGGGTAGCTGCGACATCTATCCAAGAGGAAGTGTAAATTCAAGCAGGAGATGCTGATGCTGTGTAAATTCTTCTATAGCACACATTTTAGCTTTGTAGGTGTAGGTCGCTGTAACAAGGAGAAGTTGAAAAAATTCCTTTCGTCAATAAACTACCCTTGTACTGCAACCCCTTTTCTGAAATAATTTAATAAATTTACCTACTACGCTCACAATACTTGACCTCCTATATACGCCGATAGAGGGCACATACTTAAGCTTCGGAAAATTAAAAGTGAAATTATTATGCTAGATCATTATTTGTACTTATCAAAAGGATTAGGTACTTGTGGTGTAAGCATGATTATGTGCCTCATCAAAAGCAATTAGAGGTGACAACTTTTATTATTGTAACAGAAGAAACCTAACAAAATGCCAACAACCACTCACTATTCCATGTAACGTCTTTATTCTGTCAGATTTTGCTTTAAGATAGGGCTGTTTTGGAATGTGGCTGAAGTAGCTTGAGATTCGGATTCTGACTCTCAAATATTACAGTTGACCAGCTCAATTATTCCAAATTATGAATTTATCCACAAAAAAAGGGTGTAAAACGCATATAAGCGTAATGAAAACTACGAACGCATGCAAAAATCTTACAAAATCACAAAAATTATATCAAAGTACCTACCCCTTACTATAATTCCTTTATAATTACTTTAGTAACAGGGCACACATTCTAAATATAACGACCATTTTTGCAAAGAGACCGTTTACAAATCCGGATCTTATGGGACGAACCTACCCTTCAACGATAGGGTACAATTATGACTCCTGCAATTAAATTTGTAACATGCTGGAAAAACTTTTATATAATCATGCAAAAAATAACAGACACTTCTGACAAGACTGCTATTACAGATTCAGAGGCTAAAGGGACCAATCTACCCTCCGAAGATAGGAGTAAAATTATAACTTCTACAGTTATGCTTGAAACAGGCGGAAACAACTTTGATAAAATCAAGCAATATATAAGACCCACTTCTGCTCAGACAGATATTGCAGATTCAAAGGCTAAAAGGACTAATCTACCCTCTAAAGGTAGGGGTAAAATTGTAACTTTTACAATTATGTTTGTAACTTGTAACAGGCTGGACCAGCTTTTAGAAAATCAAGAAATCTATAAAACACACTTCTGCCAAGACAGATATTTCAGATTCAGAGATACGAATCTACCCTCCAAAGATAGGGGTAAAATTATAACTACAATTATGCTTGTAACAGGCACGAACAACTTTTATAAAATCAAGCAATGTATAAGAAACGCTTCTGCTAAGACAAAAATTGCAGATTCAGAGGTTAAAGGGGACCAATCTACCCTCCAGAGGAAAAATGTTTTCCCACCCGATAATTAGTTCTATGACATGATATGGATTGGAAAATGTCTAAAATTTACTTGCATTAAGGCAAGGAAAATGTCTAAAATATGCGATATCTTTGCCTTGGCAAATGGCGAACATGGTAGGAAGATTACGATTGATACACAACGTATAATAACATACAAATTTAATTATGAAATGAAAGCGACAATGTAATAAATAATTAGTGACAATGGGCGCATTTTGGTTTAAAATTTCATGAAACGTTTTCTTGGAAAACATGAGTTGTAACAAGCCCACTTGGTTCGAGTGTTTGCTTCAACACCGATGCATTTACAAGAACGACACTTTTCCGTTTTCACCTCGCCTTTTTTACACTCTCCTGTTGAACGATCGCCATCATGACAATCTGCTTGTGTGCAAAACCAGTCGACGATTCCATTTTGGAAGGCCATACATTCGCATAGTGCACAGTTTTCGTGCTTGGTATCGCCTACTTTGCACTTGGCATCTAGAAAAAGGATATTTTGTGAGCATTTTTGGAGAGAAAATTGCTAAGTTGTAAATGACAACACTACCATCATCAATAAATATGGTGTAGGAAGTGGTAAAAGTTGGAGTACCTACCTTTCCTTAAGAGCTCATCGTGAGGATTGTTACAATCATACTGAGTGCAATACCAGTCAATGCTTCCATCTTGTAAACGTAAACAATCGCAAATGGCACATTCTTCTCGCTTTGTCTCGCCTATTTTGCATGTGGACTTATCTAAAAGGAATGCATTTTTGTTAGTTCAGGTATTTTTCAAGGTAGAAAATACACTTACCAGCAACTACCACGGCAAGCAACCCCAAACACAACAAGGCAACAGTCTTCATCTTTCTTTAAGGTATAGAAACGTTAATGATCTCATGAGCTCTCTAGCTGGCGATTTATACGGTCTGCAAGGGTGGCAGAGTGGGGGATCGTTTTTCAACTGTACGTAATTCGCAATTATGGTTGTTCACCTCTGTCCGCACTTGAATTTTGTACATCGGTGACGAGCCTATCGGCTAGCAGTAAAGTATTTTGTTTATTACTTAATGAGTAAACGTCATTGACATTATATTACGTTAGTTACAGTATGATAACAGCATCAATTGTGCCCACTTCAAACTGTACTTGTTCCAATATTTTGGACTAGGACTTCGTTGAGATTTTTACAAAACGCACGCCAACGATTAGTGATCACTTGTATCCACTCTGAATGCCCTTCGGAACAAGCTTTCGTAACTGAACCTTCCTTAAAAGCGAATTGGCATTTCGAGTAAGGTTCTTAGATGCGAACATTCCAAAACGAACTTTTCGGAGAGAAATCTTCGTTCTGGGCTTGTGATGTGTATGGGAAAATATAATTAATAATTTTTTTGGGGAGCTCTCCTTGGTTTTATAGAAGAAAGACAATCTCTACCGAGCGAAATCTTTGGATGTCCTTGTGGAGGAATTTACCGAGGCGAATTTGCTTACAACTCTTATTCTACACTTCAAAATAGTATCAGGTTGTTGGGGAATCAGAACGAATGGTCTCAAGGGAGGGGATAAAAGGTAACTCACCGACATGGATGAAGGCAATGCTTGATAAACACTCTTTAATTGCAAAAGATGCTAATTGCTGCCGACCAGTTGTAACCAGTAACAATTTGCGTAATATATGAGTATTGTTTTCAGATAATCGGCCATGGCAAGTACTTCAAATTAATCGGGTTACCTACCGATAACTTGGGTTTTTTTCCCGTTGATTGCGAAGCATAGGATAAACGTAGTCCATGTAACCCTTGAACAAAGATGAAGATGAAGAATACTTCGAGACTATATAATAGTTATTTATGCATCAAGGGCATTAAGGCGATATTTATGCCGAGGGCGACAGACCCCGAGGGCCTCTGGCCCGAGGAATCGTAAGCCGCCCTAGGGTTAAATATAGAGTACTTCCTGAGGTGCATACAAACTTTTATTTTTCATCCCGCACAAAGTACAGCCTAATAACAAATGGAAATAGCAGTGCTTGCTCTTTGTTATTCAATGTTATACAAACTTCTCCAGTGTAGGGGCTATTCACGTGGACTTCAGGGAATTAAAAGTACGAGAGGACCGTGCTTCAAATGGATGCAAATGTTTTCTTACTCATTTTAAGTTATTCTTCATTATTTCAATTAGGACACCTGGGCCTACGTTACAAATTCTGATCTCGGATCCTTTGGATCATTATCATTATTCGAATTCAATCATCAAGATTTTTCCAAACCGTAGGTCACAGATCTCTGCACCAATAGATTACCAAGACAAAATTATTTTCCCTATACGAAAGCTGCGTGAAGAAAATTAAACCTTATCATCTAATCCCAAAGCATAATACTTTTCAAGAAACCGTCTGTAGTGGGTACACTTGATATGCACTACCAACGGGAATGTACATAGATAGTATTGCTATCTTTTATCGATAGCAGTTGTAACTAACGTAGTAAAATGTTAACGACCATAAAAATCACATAAACAAAGTGCTTGACTTTTTGTAGTCTCGTCATAGATGTACAAAATCCAAGTGTAGGGAGACATTACAGCCAAATAACAGAAATGGGACAGTGATACCCTCCCTCCAAAGGCAAACTAACCAGGTATAAATGGAAGATTAACAGCCATAACGATATCATTCCAGTTCTAAACTTCAAAGCAAAATGAAGACTATTGCTATAGTTTGTTTGGCTTTATTTGCCGTGGTACTTGCTGGTAAGTGTCGAAACGTTGCACCAATTTGGTGACATTTCCTTTAACACGTACAATATAGTTCCTCATAGTATTGCACTAAAAAACAACTTATGAGCACTTTCCTGTAGTTATTTGTCATTAGTCAATAGTTTAGAAATGATAAATATTAATAATAATTTCTTCTAGATAAGCCCACTTGTAAAATAGGCGAGACTAAACGAGAAGACTGTGCTATTTGCGATTGCTTACGTTTGCAGGATGGAAGCATTGACTGGTATTGCACCCAGTATGATTGTACCCATGATGAGTTCTTAAGGAAAGGTAGGTACCCATTCTAACTCATACTATGCCAGTCATATGCAATTTTTGATAATGAACTTTGTCATTATTTGTAAATTCACAGAAGGCACTACACCTTTTCCACTTTTATTCGAGAAGTTGTAAATTGTATTTGAGAATTGTTACTTGTATTTGAGAAAACATCAAAGTAGATGAGAATAGTCAGTTGGATTTGAGAAAACAACAAATGTAGTTGAGAATAGTCAATTGTATTTGAGAAAGTATCATTTAATTTTAAGAAGTCGTTAATTGTATTTCAGAATTCAGATTGTAATATTAAGAATCAAATTTTTATAATTCCGCTACTGTATGTAGTCCCGCAACAGGCTGTTGCGGGACTACATACAGTAGTAGTAGTAGTACATACTGCCAACAGCAGCAGCAGCATCAGGCTATGTTATACATGGGATTTTGTTTTTCTCATTTTCAATTGATATCTTTTCAAATACATTTTACCATTTCTTGAATACAATTTACTACTCTCAAATTCATTTGATGCCTTCTCAAATACAAATCACTATTCTGAACTACATTTGTTGTTTTCTCAAATACATTTTACTATTCTCAAATACAATTGATACTTTCTCAAATTAACTTTATAGTTTCTCGAATAAAAGTGGAAAAGGTGTAATTATCCCAAAAAATTTACTAAATATTCCTTTTTTAGAACCCACGTGCAAAATTGGCGAGACCAAGCATGAAAACTGTGCTTTATGCGAGTGCATGGTTTTCCAAAATGGAATCATCGACTGGTTTTGCACACAAGCTGATTGTCATTTTGATGATCGTTCGAAGACTGATACAGCTAGCAAAGACACGAACCATGTGGACTTGTTGCAACGTATGTTTTCCATAAAGACGGCTCACACAATTCTCAAGAAATGATCTGAATATCACAATTATTTATTACATTGTCACCTTCATCTCATAATAATAAGATTTGTATTTTTCTATTGTAGAAAATGAATAAAAATTGACCTTATTCGTCTTTCGTAATACATATTAAGTTCTTTGGAACAGTTACCCGTAAAATAAAAAGTTAGAGCAATTGTAAGACTAAGCCCTCACATTACTTAAAATGGTTAAAACCATGGATGAGTTGGTGCGTTTGAAAATTCAGAAGACTAGCTGTTTTATGGCGCCTTTAGAAGAACACTTGGACACCATAGCACAACTATTAAGGGATAATTCCTACAAAAACTCTAAAAAGCTACTAAGAAAATTTTGTAAACTGAAGGCTCTGAAAGTTGGGTTAATATGGGTTGTAAAGCATCTTTAGAAATTTTTAAAAACATTTCAAAAGCGTTCTAATGGGGTTCTAAAAAGATACTCAGAAAATACTAACAAATTCCAAGAGGATATTTAGATGATCCAAAGGTCCTAAGAAAATTCACGGAAAAAAGTCTTATAAGATCCTATGGAGTCAAAAATGCAACGTGGGGTGCCTTATTATTATTACTAATTTGCTATATTGACATCTTATGTAATTATTTTAAAGTTCGTTACGGTCACTTAGGGAAGAAAAATATTGGCACACTTATTTGTGCAAGTCAGCACCGTTCCGTTGATTAGTCGCATCTTACGACATGTAATGTCTCTGCAGTAGGAGTATTCTTTCCCGCCCCTGTACGGGTACGTAATGAATTTAAAACGAAAGACAAATCATATTGGGACAACTGTTTCTTTCCTACCTTCCGAAAGTGCTTGGCCCTTGGAATATGAAAATCTTAAAGTTTTTATTGTAAAGCATGTAAGTGGTAAAAATGAAAGCACACGCCGTACCATTTTTTGAAAAAAGTTTCCAGCTTTCAATCAACTTACCATAAACGTAGTGAGAGCGTAAAATGCTTCGTAGAAGTTTGCTGATACTAATCCCATAAAATATTTTGATTAAATCAGGTCGAAACGCATCACAGGTTAAGTAAAGTGGAAAAAAATGAAGAAAGCACACTGCAATGTCTTGCTTTAACATAAACGCTGTAAGGGCGGAAAATCGCTCTTAGGGGAGTGTTACTGCTCAACATCCTAAATATTTCGTATCAAAAGTTTAATAAATTAAACAAAATTGTAAGCACACGTCCTGCTACTCAAGCGCTTTTTGGAGTGTTTGATGCTCGTATTATAAAATAGTCTTATTGATATCAAAGTTTAAATAAAGTGAAGACCATTGGAAGACCATACACTACAATTCTCAAAAAAAGGTTCGAGCCTTCATCCGCCATGGTTATAGTAAAGGGGGAAAGTCCTACTGTTGATGGTTATTTTACCGATGGCTTCATAAATGGGCAATTGGTGGTTTTTTTTTTAAATTTTTTTAAAAAACATTTGAAAGCATTTCTTTTACCTTAAACTTAACATGTAAAACCGAAAAATCCTACTTAGCACTAAATTATCAAAGAAATCACATTTTCCTTCCCACCTTTGGTTACATAGATTGATGCTGCTTCTTTTTTTTAAGGTGACAAGTTAATAAGGTAAGAGCACGAAATTACTGCATACTTTCCATCTATTGTACTATATTGGGCATATAAAGTAATATAAGTAGCAGGCCAATACGACAATATTGAAGAAATCGCAAGATAATCACATAAACTAGGCAAAGCGCAAACACGGATGAAACATTTGGATACAATAGTCGAAAAGGGTACAAAAGCAAAAGAAGAAGTACCTACAAGTAGCGGGTATTTTAAAAAAAAAACAGAAAAGAGGAAAGAATGGTTTAGACGCTCCCTAAAACCAAGCAGATTCTGGAACGACAATGTCGTACAAACACTGCAGCTGGGTGTAATGAAGAGCAGTGAGCAGGAAGCAATTGGGAAATGGGCAATATTGTGGAAAGGTTCTGATTAATATTATAGTGTACAATAAATACAAATTTTATTATGATGAAATGAAGACGAAAATGTAATAAATAATTGTTATGATATTGAGATCACTTCTTCAGAATTCCGTCAGCCGTCTTCATGGAAAACATGTGTTATAACAAGTCCACGTCGATCCTGCCTTTGTTACCTATATCAGTTGGGGAGCCCCTCTTGGAACGATCATCAAAATGACAATCTGCTTGTGCGCAAAACCAATCGGTGATTCCATTTTGGAAGGTCATGCATTCGCATAAAGCACAGTTTTCATGCTTGGTGTCGCCTATTTTGCACGCGGCATCTAAAAAAAGAAAATTTAGTAATATTTTCATCTTCTACCAATACATTTTGGGATAATTGATGCATTTGTTTTGTTAATTTACAAAGAAGCTACTTATGATATAAAGTGGAAAGTGAAAATAAAAACTAAGAATTTTTTCCTGCCAAAGTAAAAGTTAAGAGGACCTACCTTTCCTTAAGAGCTCTTCGTGAGGATTGGTACAATCATATTGTGTGCAATACCAGTCGATGCTTCCATCTTGCAAACGTAAACAATCGCAAATAGCACATTCTTCTCGCTTCGTCTCGCCTAATTTGCATGTGGACTTATCTAAAAGGAATGCATTCTTTTAATATGTTTCACTTCGGTTATTTTCTGAAGTAAAGATTGGAAAACTGCCACAACACATTCATCATTGATATTTGCTTATACTGCGACAGTATCCCACCAGGAAGTAAGATTCCTGTACTACATGCAACTTACCAGCAAGCACCACGGCAAACAGCGCCAAACAGAATACAACAGTAGTCTTCATCTTACTTAAAAGCTTGGAACGGTAATGATATTGTTTAAACTATCAACGGTTAATTTATACAATTTGGCGGTGGTGAGTTCGTTTCCAAGGGAAATGTTCTAATGCCTACCTATACTTGAATTTTGCACATCGATGACGGGATTGTCCCTTGGACAAATAGTCAAGTATTTTGTTTGCGTGATAGTTGTATTATTCGAATACGTCATCGACATTTTACTACGTTAGTTACAATTGTTATCAAAATGTGATAGCAATCTCGACAATGGGAATATACCTTTATTCAAGTGTACCTACAATGTACTTGACTAATAACAAGGCGAACTCGTTGAAATGTTTTGCAAAGCGCACGTCGTTTATTAACGATCACTGCTACTCCAAAGATGTCAGAGTAGAGATACTAACGAGAAACCTTCCGGGTTCGCCTGGTGACGTAGAAGCAAAATATTATCACTCTTTGGCCGAATATACGTATTTTTCTTTTCTTAGGAGGAAAAATTCCAGGGGTAAGTTATGATTAATGCTTGCACCGGACGAACCAACCTGCACTGCATTTCCTTCATTCTTTTGTGACAAATCTGAGGGAAATCTTTAGAAGCCGAAATTTCTTGTGTCCGAGTTTCCTTGTGGAACCAAGTTTCTGGAGGAGAAATTGTCTACAACTGTAGGGATCATCTTTGCAAGCTGTATTGGAAATGTGGTAATCCTTATTCTCCAATTTAAAGTATCACCATGGATGAACGCACTGCCAGAGAAGAACCCTTTGGTGGCACTATACAAGAAAAAATTCTTAAAAAGCCAGTATAGTGTGTATAAGAAATTGCTATTAAACCATTCCAGAATGCGTGACTAGTTATTGCTAGTGACTTGTAACCAATTTATAAGACAATTTGTGTAATATATTAGTATTGTCTTTAGCTTTAAATTGTTCACCGTAGGAAGTGTAGTCCACGTAACCCTTGAATAAATATTTCCAAAAAGGTACCTACTGAAGACGTGATTCAAGTCCACGACTATTTAAAATTATGGAAATGCAGAGGCTTAATTGTAGTTTAAGTAAAATGCACAAGTGTGTTTTGTTTTCATGGAACAGTTACGTGATGGTTGATACAATTTTAAGTGGTTACCACTCCAAACGTTTATGTCACGATTATACAAGGTAGATGTGCGCACTTAGACGACAATTGTGTGAATGTTGGGACCGTAATAGTGGGACTAAACACAAATCCTAATCCTGACCTCGGATCCTTTTGAATATTAAGGTGAATTGCATTCGATCATTAGGCTCGACTTTTGATCGTAGGTTCACAGAAAGTTGTACTGTATGCACTGTGCCAAAGCAGAATCGATTTGCGTACATGAGAGCTTCTTGAAGCAAAAATAAATTGTTTCACATGAAACCTTCATCTAATCCAAAAACATAATACTTGTCAAGAAACCGTTGTGGTAATACATAAGTGGGTACACTTGATATGCACTACAGGGATGCCTACCAACATAGATACTATTGTTATCTTATGTCGATATCGGTTGTAACTAACGTAGTACATGTCAACGACCATAAAAAAATCACATAAACAAAGTGCTCGACTTTCTCTAGCCGACAGCCTCGTCATCGATGTATAAAATTCAAGTGTAGGGAGACACTAGGGTCAAATATCACAAACGGGAAGTGATACCCTCTCTCCAATGGCAAACTCACCAGGTATAAATGGAAGATTAACAGCCATACCGATATCATTACAGTTCTAAACTTCAAAACAAAATGAAGACTATTACTATAGTTTGTTTGGGTTTATTTGCCGTGATACTTGCTGGTAAGTTTAGTGTCGAAACGTTGCACCAATTTGGTGACATTACCTTTAACACATATAGATCCTCATAGTATTGCACTAAAAAACAAGTAGTGAGCAATCTCCTGTAGTAATTATTTCTATTTGTCATTATTCAATAGTTTAGAAATGATAAATATTAATAATACTATTCTTTCTAGATAAGCCCACTTGTAAAATAGGCGAGACGAAACGAGAAGACTGTGCTATTTGCGATTGCCTACGTTTGCAGGATGGAAGCATTGACTGGTATTGCACCCAGTATGATTGTACCCATGATGAGTTCTTAAGGAAAGGTAGGCACCCACTCTAACTCATAGATACTATGCCAGTCATAAGCAGTTTTTGATAATGAACTTTGTCATTATTTGTAAATTCACTAAGTGAAGGCACCAATTATCGCAAAAAAATGTACTCTTTACTAAGTGTTCCTTTTTTTAGAACCCACGTGCAAAATTGGCGAGACCAAGCATGAAAACTGCGCTTTATGCGAGTGCATGGTCTTCCAAAATGGAATCATCGACTGGTTTTGCACACAAGGCGATTGTCATTTTGATGATCGTTCTAAGACTGATACGGCTAGCAAAGACACGAACCATGTGGATTTGTTGCAACGCATGTTTTCCATGAAGACGGCTCACGGAATTCTGAAGAAGTGATCTCAATATCATAACAATTATTTATTACATTGTTACCTTCATCTCATAATAATAAGATTTGTATTTTTATACTGGAGTAAATAAAAAATTGACTTCATTCGTCTCTCGTAATATTAAGTTCTTTGGAACAGCTACCCTTAAAAGAAGAGGTTAGAGCAATTGTAAGACTAAAGGCTCACATGGCTTAAAATGGTTAAAATCATGGATGAGTTCCAGATTTTCAAACTCTGCGATACTATTGCAACATATGAAAAGTAGGAACCTTTAAAGCTTCCCAGCCCTCAAAAGATATCCAATTTTAATTACTCTTTAATGTTTGCTTTGATAAAACCGTGCAATGGGGGCAACAAACATTTTACAAGAGGTAAGTGCATTTGAAAATTAAGAAGACGAGATGCTTTACGGAGGCTGTAAAAAAAACCCTTCAACAGTACAAAACTTCTTCACTGCTCTCAGAACCTGACAAATTTTCACTGGCATAGTTGGGTCATACAACCTCTCACCATACCCTGTTTGATTGTTTATTGCAACTAGATTTGTAACTTATTACCGTTACCGATTAACAAGGATAGTGATGTTATTAGAGAGGCGAAACCTTGTGCTAGTAAAGTTTAATTCAATTGTTTTTGAGCGAGTTGAGCTTGGGACAGTATTTTTCAGGTAATATGGGAGCCTTTAATAATAATTAGGGGATTATAAGAGGTTCCTACAAAAACTCTGAAAAGCGCGTAAGAAAATTTTGCAAACTTAAGGTTCCTATGTAAAGCATCTTTACAAACTTTAAAAAACATTAGAAAAGCATTCTCACAGGAACCCATCAAAAGGATATTGAGGTGATCCAAAGGTCCTAAGAAAATTTTAGGAAAAATATCTGATCCTAAGGAATCAAAAATAAAATACAATGAGGTGTGCCTTATTACTAACTCCCTATATTGAGATCTTATGTAATTATTTTAAATTTCATTACAGCCACTTAGGGAAGAAACAATAACCGGAAGATTTATGTAACTCGAATCTTATTGGCACACTTATTTGTGCAAGTCAAGTGACTCAACACGCCATAGATTAGTCGCCTCTTACGACATGCAGTGTCTCTGCAGTAGGGGTATTCTTTCCCGCCCCTACACGGGCACCGAACTTATTGCTTAACGGAGCAAATCTTTCTTCCCTATCTTCTGAAAATGCCTGACATTTGAAATATGAACATCTTGACGTTTCTAGTCAGTAACTTTGGATTGAGAAGTCTGATCGAAACACTACAAATTGTTTTGGATTCTACGCACCAAAATTAATAAGAAAAAGTGTTTTCCCGAGAAATTTTGGTGTAGTCGATTTTTGGTAAAAAAGGAAGGTTAATCACTGCCTTTTTTTGAGGCCTCCAAAAAAAATTGTCTCAGATCGACCCGGAAAAAATTTTTTTTATAGAATGTGGCCTGTAGAATCCATAATTTCAAACAGTTCCAAGATTGGGCTACTAGTTCAAAAGTTACAGCCTTTTGAATTTTCTTTCGAAATTGGTTTTTGGTCCATAACTTTTTATTGAGAAGTCTGATCAAAAAGTACGAATTGTTTTGGATTCTACGCACCAAAATTAATAAGAAAAAGTGTTTCTCGAGAAATTTTGGTGTAGTCGATTTTTGGTAAAAAAGGAAGGTTATACACTGCATTTTTTTAAGGCCCGAAAAAAAAATTGTCTCAGATCGACTCGGAAAAAAATGTTCTTATAGAATGTGGCCTGTAGAATCCATAATTTCAAACAGTTCCAAGTTCAAAAGTTACAGCCCTTTGAATTTTGGAGTAAAGTATTTACAAAATCAAATACTGCCCAGCTCTGGTAATATGTGAGTATTGTCTTCAGCTAATCAACTTGTGGCATAATAGTTTTCTCGCTTATTGCAAAACGTTGAAAGGAAAAAGAAAAAAGGTAATCGTCTTTCATTCCTCCGACATCCCTGACTACATAGACGCCAGGCGGCCTGTTCAGGATTGTTTGACCCTCTTCAGTCTTCAGTCAGAGAACGGGAATTTAAGGGTAGGTAAAGTTGCGGATTGGAGCGGAAGGAAGGGAAAAATGTAGTCCATGTGACCCCCCTACTCAAGACGCGATTCAAAATTTGAAAGAGTGTTCAAATCCACGGCTATGTAAAGCTATTGACAGGCAACGTACTTAAAATTGTAGTGTATGTAAAATGCACAACAAGAATATTTTTTTCACGAAACAATTACGTGATAGATGATATCATTTTAAGTTGTTACCACTCCAAATGCACTTAAACGATAATTGCATGAATGTTACGAACGTAATTCGCTCATCTCACACAACATTTCACCATTGAATTTGATAGTTATAAATTCAATGATTTCACATAAAAGCCCATGGAAATATCCAAACCCGCCACGTGATATAGGTACCTACGCAGTTTGTTCTTCTACCTATACTATACCATACCAACTTCTATTAAGCTAACATGATTTGTCCACACCCCCCCCCCCCGAGAAATCAAGCAGAACGACAAGTGATCTCTTTATGAGGAGCAATGTTCTTGAAAATTAGTTTGCGGAGAGGCAATTTTTTGTGTATAGAAAGTGAAGGTGGGACAAATCACATATCATGACACTGAACTCGGATCCTATTGAACCTAATGATGATTTCAATTCGATCATTACGCTCGATTTTTTGGATTTCGGTTAGACAAAGCTGTACCTACCTACTGTATGCACTGTGACAAAAAAAACAATTTGCGTACATGAAAGCTT